AATACAAGAAGGAACAGATTGTTCAGCATGATGAGTTGATCTATGTTGCAAAAGACCATTCATGGTGAAGTGGACCATTAACTCTTGCAACACATTTTAAGTCCTTATGTTAATCAAGAAGAGCCATGTATTTGCTCATTTAACATGAGGGATTAACAACAACCTTTTTCAGGCATGTCTCCAGAGCCACAACACATCAGCACTGTAATAGCAACATGCTATTACAGGATTGCTCTTGTAGGTTTTGCCTTTAGAAATAAAGGGCCACATTCATCCCTGGTGCCAGTGGATCTACTTCCAAGAATCTGGCTTCATATGTAGCCCAGTGTTTGGGTGAATTTGACTCTTTATAGCTGTGACCAGCTCTCTGGTTTGGGCTTTTTCATTCTCCAATCATGCATGAAATCAATCAGAACCAGCCATATTTTGATCTGCCCCAGTGTCTTCGCATGGTGGTATTTCTTTCCACGGAGATAAAAGTTCCTGATGTACTTCACTGCAGGGACAGCAGAAATCAATGTCACACCTTAAGGGATTTTTGAGGGGGATGGTCTTTGAGCAAATATTGCAGTGGAACATCAGAAGCCTGTTAGGCTTACAGTCCCCTTCCTGACCCACTGTGGAGATCATATGTGATGAACACCCTAAAGGCTGTGTAGCATGTTTAAGAGTCTTCAGGAAAGAAGTCAATCCCCAGCCCCAAAAAGGAGCTACTTCCAATGAAAGTTGGATGAGAGAGCGATTGCTCCCACCCAGCCTCACAAGAGATGTGTGCTCTAGAACTTTTTGATACCTTTCGCTAGAAGGAAAATCAGGAAAAGCATCTGTAAACTGTATAAAAGGCTGATATCACATCAAGTCATGGAAGTAAAGTAGGGAGAGATATAGTCTCCCCAAAATAAGCACCCACTGAGTCACCTCCAGCAGGTTTGAGTTGAGTTCTGCTCCCTTGAAAGGAAACATGCTTGAAACAGCCTTCACCTCATAAGCAAGATAGCCTGACAAATGAGCTTGTATGTGACAAGAATTCCAGCTGCCATTAAAATGTGTGGGGTAGAAATGCCAAAGGGTGATCTATATAAACTGCAAACTTGACAAATGAGCTTGTATGTGACAAGAATTCCAGCTGCCATTAAAATGTGTGGGGTAGAAATGCCAAAAGGTGATCTATATAAACTGCAAATGTCTAACATAGGACAGACATCTATAAAGGGAAACTGACAGACTTACAGCTTCCAAATTATACTAAGCTACAATCTTGAAGTACAACACACTTGCCTGTTTAGTATGAGATGCTGAATACAGGGGTAAAGAAACAAGTCTGAACAGTGACTTTTTCTGTCAGAGGTCACTGAAAGGTCACCAAACTTTCATCTCAGATTTCAACTTGCTAAATTATTTGCACTGTAGTAGCACCCCCAAAAAACACTTAGCGTCATTAGGTACTATACAAAGAAATAGCAATTCGATACTCATTATGGACAACTGATTACATGGGAGAAAGATTAGTAAGATTTGATACCAGCCTAACAATTTCCATAACTTATATATATTTATCTTATGAGCTGGTTGCGGTATGTATGGAGGCTCTATTTTTGAATGAAGGTAATTAAGGACACCAGATATTAGTCAAGAAATTTGTTAAAGACAAGTAAGTAAGTGACACTTACAATGTTGTCCACTCAAAGAATGCCTGCTCATCCTCTAGTATGTATCACAAGAAAATCCTTTACTGGTGTATTCAGTAGCTTGATTATCACTGATGTGAAAGTTGAAATTTGTCACACAAAAAGGGTTTCCATCAAATAATGTGGTTTGTGTCAAAAGTTATTCAGCAAAATGTTGAAATTCAGTTAAAATGTTCAGATTTTTCATTTGGAAGAATCAAAACACAAAAGTAGATTTCAAGTCAAAATTTTGAAACCCAATGAAATTTTCCATTGTGAAATGTTGAGTGGAAATGAAAAATATTTTGATATTCCAGATGATTTAGACGCAAACAAAACCCTTGTCATGGAGTGGACACTCACTGCCACAGTCCCTCCTGCCAGTAGTACTGGGAATTAGTTCATTCACAGGGTGCCTCCCTCTGGCTGGTTGTCTCCTCGTGTCCTCACTCCATATTTCCGTTCCAGACCGGCATCGCTGTCAGACCGTGACATCTTCTTCAGGACAGTGCCCTCCAGCAATGCCCACTATTGTTGTCTCTCATCCCCCTTCTGGGAGGGGGAGAGTTTTTATCATTCTCTTCCTTGGGATAGTCGCATGGCGCCAATGCTAGCGTTGTTCCGGCGTCAGGCTAAAGCTACCCTTTTTACTCGTGCTTTTATTAATGTTTGAGTCTGTATGTGTGTGTTCCTCCTCTCTATATGTTTTTAGCTGGTTATGTCCCTCTGAGGTCTCATATTTTAAATTCTCATATTTTAAATTTTTATATATATTTGAATTTTTTTTGTTTGTTCTTGTAAGACGCCTTGAATATTTTAATAGAAAGGCAGGGTAAAATATTTAAATAAATAAATAAATAACTCTTTGCACTCTGGGGTCCTCCCCTCCAAGGAAACCTCCAATTCCTCTATACCCACATTGCCTCAGAGACCCTCTGTCACTCTTCATCTAGCCCCTGCCACAGAGACAAACTGCAGTCTGAAATGTCCACTCATCATTGGCAAGGGAGTGTGGACCTGGTGCCCTTTGCCTATTCTGGCTGCCACCCCATAGCCCCAAAACCCTGAAGCCTTGCTTCAGGACCTGCAGCCTGGGAGTGAGGACAGGCCAGAGTGCCCCAGCCCTATCTGCCTTTTCCCAGCACTGCTCTATCCCAGGAAGACCCCAGCTTCCCTGGCAGCCAGGTCCCTCCTGCTCCCTAGCTAGAGCAAGTCCATCCCTCTTTGCCTCCTGGTGCCCTCATTTATATAGCCCACAGCTGGGCCCTAATTGGCAATATCAACCACAGCTGTGGACTTTGCTCTTAGCCCTCTCCTAGGGCTGGATTTTATCTTAAAAGGCCAGTGTGGAGCAGACACCTCATCACAACCCTCTGTTTCACAATTTCTGATTTGAGATAGTTGATTTTGGAAAATGTTTCAATATTTCAACATTCTATTTATTTTAAACAGTAATTCCAGAAACTAATTTTGAAAAATGTCAAAATTTCCTATGGGGTAAAAATTCTGCTTTCTGTCCAGCACACTCTGTCTGTGGGACTGGAGCAAATCTGGTTCTGTCTAACAGTAGATTGAGAAATGTGTGTTGGATGGAAGCTAGAGGCATGTAGGTAAGTGTATAAGGCAGTCCGTAGGTTTCCGGTATAAGATGGAAATTTTTCCATCATGTAATTGTATTGTAGTGTCAAGGAAGTGAATCTCCTGTGCGGACTAGTCCAGGCTGAGGTTAATGGTGGGGTGGAAGTTGTTGAAATCCCTGTGAAATTCTTCAAAGGTCTTTTTTCTGTGGCTCCATATAATGAAGAGGTCATCAATATAGCATAAGTAGAGTAAAGGTGCAAGAGGGTGAGAGCTGAGGAAACATTGTTCAAGGTCAGCTGTAAAGATGTTGGCATATTGTGGGGCAATGCAACTGTCCATGGCTGTGCTGCTGACTTGAAGATATACATTGACCAAATCGGAAATAGTTGTGGGTGAGGACAAAGTCACAGAGCTTTGTAACCAGGTGTGCAGTGGTGTCATCAGGGATAGTGTTCCTGACAACCTGTAGTCCATCTTCATGTGGAATGTTGGTGTAAAGAGCTTCTACATCCATGGTGGCCAGCGTAGTGTTTTCAGGAAGATTACTGATGTTCTGTAGTTTCCTCAGGGAGTTGGTGCTGTCTTGAAGATAGCGAGGTGTGCTGGCAGCATAGGGTCTGAGGAGAGAGTCAATATAGCCAGATAATCCTATTGTAAGTGTGCCAATGCTTGAGATGAGTTGTCTGGAATTTCCAGGTTTGTGTATCTTGGGTAGCAGTTAGAAAACTCCTGGTTGGGCATTAGGGAGTATGTTTGTATAGATTTGGTCCTGAGTTGTATCAGGGAGTTTAATGAGCAACCCCATCCCCTATTTATTTAGAAACTGGACCTTTAATAACTCCATTTATCTGAAGAAGTGGGTTGTGCTTATGAAAGCTCATGATACGATCATGTTTTGTTAGTCTCTAAGGTAATGCAAAACTATTCGTTGTTTATGTTTTTACAGTTACAGACTAAGTTGGCCACCCCTCTGAAGCTTTTGAACAATAACAATGTCATCATTCAAAAGAAAGTCATGGGCCAGCAGGTTCAAAGATTGTACAGAGTGGAGTGAGGGAACCATTATACAAATGAAAGCACATAACATGCTGCCCTAGTTATGTATTAGGCTCAGAAACTGCCTGAATTATGTCATGCATAATGAATCCTCCTCTTTTAAACATCCATCTTTCATTGCTTCTAACATTTATTCTGTTGTCATTGGAGACTTGGAGGTTAGCCAATGTTTATTTTTTTTCTCCTAAAATGCTGATAAAGATTGCACAGCAGGCAACGTACTGTTAGACCTGAAATGGAAAATATAGCTTTGTCTTCAAAAGTTTCTGGGAGTGGTGGTGACTGATATCTTTTGATACATTTTCCACCCCTCTGAGACCTTTTAAAAGGACACACCAGGAGCTGTGAAAGTCGTCCAGTCAAGTGTTTGTCCATACATCACTTAATAGAAGATGGTTCTACTATCCCATATGTCAATAAATCATATGTATTTCCAGGCCACACAGTGATGATGAGAGTGTAATTACAGCAAAAGCTTAATTAAAATTTCATATGAATAAAACATTAGCATAATCACTTTTAGCCTATAACCAGCTGGTATATATTTCATTTCTTTAGCGCCATGTTTATTAACAGCGCAAACCAAATATTATAACGAATTAAAAAGAAAAATAAACGCAGAGGATAATTTTATCTTTTCACCATTCTGTAATTCATAGTAAAGTAATAGTTTGGTTAAATGAAGTAACAACAAAATCCCCTTGGAAATCATCATTTACAAGAAGCTTCTGCTTGAACCTTATTTATGACCACATTTTCAGAACTTTAACTCCAAACAAGTATCCACAATTTTTAGCATTGACTTTTTGACAGCTGTAACTTTTATATATGCAAAGATCAGCTGTGAGTGAAAAAGCTGCATCTTGAATTCTGACATTTACTCAGGAGAATGCAATTTTCCTGTGTTTGCATGCACAAAGACTTGGGTGCATTCAAAACTAAGAGCAGGTTTACCCTACAAGGACAAGTTAACCTTGTTATGCAATTTGAGTTGCATTGGTAGTGTCCCTCAAAACGATGGAGCTTAGATTCTTCTACCACAGGGTCCACACTGCACTGGGTTGACAAAAAGAACTCTCCTGTCAACTCCCTATATTCATCCTGTTCCAGTGGAGAACCAGAGACAACAGGAGAGTGATCGATGGTCAGTTTGGCAGTCTTCACTAGGGATGTTAAAAAGCATTTTATATGGTTTTCCAGCATCACTGGCATGTAGAAGAATCAGAATCTGGACCTATACTTGACAACTGGCCTTTATCTTTAGGATGGGCTGAGGCAAAATCTGTAGCCCAACCATATTGCTCCACCCCACCAAATTTTTGAGTGTTTAAAACCTGTATCTTCCAGTTTGGATAACCTGGATGATATCACGAAACATGAAGAGTGGTGTAACTGAAAATCATCTCACCCTTCTTCCCAGGCTGGGCTCAACTATTTGTTGGGAATATTTTCTGGTATTGTGGATCATTTCTCAATCAGTAGAATGCACCCAGCAAGCAGGTATGTAATGAGACCTGTTAGAAAGAAGGCAAACAGTCAATCTATTGATGGGTTCTGAGGAAGATTCTGTTTCATAATGAAATCTGAGAGAAGGTAGATTCTATCTGTCTTCAGGTTCCATTATGGAACCTTTAAAGAGTTCTAGCTCTGCAAAGAGCAAAATGCAAGTTAACAAAGATTCTATTTTGGAGGCTGAGAGTCATTCATACAATAGCTTCATTCCAATGCTTAAAAAGGGGGGTGGGATTTATGCAGAGAGAGCACAGAAACCGCCTACATGTAAAATATTGGATTAATCTTCTCAGAAACTAACAAGGAAACCTCCCTCTTCCCTCCCTTACATTCTATGTTTGAGCTCTCCTCCTGTAACAATGGGGAGGGGGAACCTCCTCTGAATTTCCCTTTTTAAAGTATGTTAAGCCATTGCCAGGCCAGTCCTAGTGGTAGGGTAGTGGATGACTAATAGCAGTGATTTTTAATTAAACAATATCAGAATGGGATGATTGATTAGCAACTTCACCCCCTGCATTTCACAGAACATTTCAAAATTACTTTTTGAAAAATGGAACTATAAAAAAAAGAACAATGATGGGAACTTTTTGCCTGGGAGGAAGCCCTTCCCTCATGGCTAGCATAAAAGCTTCAGGAATTTTTGCTCCCAATGAAGGAAGAGAACTTTTATTACAATCTCTATTTACTTTGCCCCTTACACTTCTATGACATCAATGGGGTTACACTTAGTGTAACCCAGAGCTTAGTTTGGCCTGATATTAGTGAGGTCCTATTTTTAAGCAGGTATTTCTATTGGCATGTGATTCTTGTTTGTGAAGATCCTTGTCTTTTCACAAACCAGCTGCTCCTGGATCCTGCAGTGAAACCATAGGGGCCCTATGTTTAGCTGATGTATATTAACATAGCTCCATAGTCTCCAAAAGCTGGTGCATCTGGCCCACAGCATCAAATTCGGCTCTTATTTAAAAGAATATAAATCCTAATGGTTTTTATTCAAGAATCACAAAGTGCTTTGCAAATATTGTTTGTTTAAGACTCACAGCTCTCTCACCGAGCTGTTAGTCCTATAAAAGATATTACCTCATCCAACTTGTGTCTCTAACACTTTCAGAAACAGGTACATCTGTTATGCATACAAGGAGAAGGTAACTGGCTTTTATTTGAATGGCTAGGAGTGTCCAGCAGCCCAACTGAGTCTGGGAACCCATTATGCTGAGTGCATGGTATACATGATCCTTAGCTCTAAGAGCTTACAATCTAAGTAGACAAGAAAAATAAATGGTGGGAGGAGAAACAGAAGTGCGGAAAGATGAATTGCATTGTCCAGGGTTACATCACAGATCAGTAGCAGAGTTGAAAGTAGCACCTTGGTGTCCTGATTCTCAATGCAGTGCCCTAGCTACCAGAACATGCTTATTGTCATGGCTATATGTACACAACAGCCTAGATTGACACTATGATACCAATCCACTGGTGATTGATTTAGCAGGTCTAATTAAGACCTGCCAATTCAACTGCAGATGGCTCTCCCATCAATCCTGTTATTCTTCTCTAGGTGAGAAGAATAAGGGAACTCAATGGGAGAGTTTCTTCCATTGACCACCTATGGGGTGGAGCCTGTAGTAACTCTACTTACAATACATTGACTCCAGCTACATTATTCACTTTGACTTTCTGTTGCAGTGTAGATCTAGCCTTAGGTTCAAAAGACTGTTTGCCAGATGCCATATCTGACACGTGTTCGCATCCCTCAATAAATCTTTTTCTCTCCCTCCATATGACATGGAACCTTCCTTCTTGGCTTTCCTATTATCTCCCTCTCAGGGCCATGCACTCCATGTGTCTGACTGAAAGGATCAAATCTCTTCTTCCTAACTAACTCAAGCCAAACTCTAATTCAGTGGTCCCCAACACGGTACTCGCGGGTGCCATGGCACTGGAGGCGCCAGCCCCAGGCACGCGACACGCACCGGCGCCTGGTGCGCGGTGCTCGGGCGGCCCCAGCCCTGGGGCACATGCGGGAGCGCGGCGCCAGCGCCGGTCCCAGGCGCGTGGCTCAGGCGGCGGCGCCGGCCCCAGGCCCACGTCACAAGGTGCTCGGGCAACGCTGGCCCCCGCCCTGGGGCACATGCCAGCGCCGGATGCCTCTAAAGGTTGGGGACCACTGCTCTAATTGATGTCGGTACGAACCTGGCCTGATTAAAAGTGGCACAACTTGCCTCTTTTGAGAAAATTATCCCAACATTGCTAGAGGGGACAAAGTTTCTTCCATCAGGAGTGTGTGGGGAGAAGGGTTTGCAATCCAGTGCACAGGTAATGTTCATGTTGTGTGCCCTATGGGAAAAGATGCCATGGCCTTTCAAAGAGGACTGTCAAGGCCACAACTCTTCTGTCCTGTGCTCCCCACTGCAGGTAAGAGTCAAAAGTGAGCAAGGAGTGAAAAACTTAAGAGCAGCACCAGGACAATCAGTGTGGCCTTGCACCAGGCAATCCTACTGTCCGGCATCTTGGTCAAACCTCTATCTTCCTTGCTTCTTGGAAACCCCTGACAGTTTCTTCTCATGGCTCCCTCTAGTACGTGGGTAGAGAACCGTTTTTTTGCATCAGGGGCCACTGACCCACAGAAAAATCAGTCAGGAGCTACACACTCCCCCACATTCCCCTGGTATACCAGGGCCTGAGGCGGGGGGAGAGGGGGGGGGATGCCCAGGCTAGTAGGCTTTGTATGCTCCAGTCCCACAGGTGGACAGCAAGGGCCTGGAGTGCCAGTGCAGGCTCCCCAGTGCAAGGGGAGGAGCCCCAAGCCTTTCAGGCTGCATGCAGGGAAGCCAGGGGCCACATCTAGCCCCCAGGCCTTAGGTTCCCCAGCCCTGTTCTGTTCCTTCCCTTGAATAAAAGCTTAATAGCTCCATACAACTTCCCTTCTAGAGCTCCTTCCCTTTATAGCTTTACCCTGGGAGCTGCATGCAGCTATGCAGGCACAAAGGGTTGATACTCTTTGCAAATGTCTCACTCCCATTGTGTAGGTAGCCACATAGATTATACTGCTTCAGTGTATGTATGCTTCATCTGACAATGTCTGCTGCATCTCATTAGCTTAGATTAATACACAAATGCAGATTGTTTTCCTGTAGTTTGATTAACATTGCATCTTCTTTAGCTGATCTAGATTGTGCCATGGATTGGCATAGCATCATTGAATCAGAATATTAGAACTGGAAGGAACCGCGAGAGATCGTCAAATCCATTCCCCTGCCCTCATGGCAGGACCAAGCACTGTCTAGATCATCCCTGGTGTCTATCCAACCTGCTCTTAAATATCTCCAGTGATGGAGATTCCACAGCCTCCCTAGGCAGTTTATTCCAGTGTTTAACGACCTTGACAGTTAAGAGGTTTTTCCTACTGTCCATTCTAAACTTCTCATGCTGCAGTTTAAGCCCATTGCATTTGTCCTATCATCACAGGCCAAAGAGAACAATTTTTCACACTCATCCTTGTAACACCCTTTTAGATACCTGAAAACAGATATCATGTCCCCTCTCAGTCTTCTCTTTTCTAAACTAAACAAGCCCAGTTTTTTCAGTCTTCCCTCACAGGTCATATTTTCTAGAATTATAATCATTTTTGTTGCTTTTCTCTGGACCTTTTCCAATTTCTCCACATCTTTCTTGAAACGTGGTGCCCAGAACTGGACACAATACTCCAACTGAGGCCTAATCAGTGCAGAGTAGAGCAGAATTACTTCTCGTGTCTTGCTCACACATCACTTCTATTAATGCATCTAAGAATCGTTTTTGCTTTTTTTGCAACCGTGTCACACTGCTGTTTCATATTTAGCATGTGTTCCACTATGACCACTATATCCCTTCCTGCAGTACTCTTTCCTAGACAATCGTTTCCCATTCTGTATGTGTGAAACAGATTGTTCCTTCCTAAGTGGAGTACTTTGCCTTTGTCCTTATTAAACTTTATCGTATTTAGTTTATTGATAGGAAGGTAAATGTGAGAGTATCAAATGCTTTACTAAAGTCTAGGTAAACCGCTTCTCCCTTATCCAGAAGATAAAGCATGTGTCAGTCATGGCAGAGGCTGAGCTGTAAACAAGAAGGCTGATCCTGGGGTTGGAGCACTAGTTTGGGATTTGAGTGGCATAATTTCAAGACCCAATATGATCTTGGATAAGTAATTTAAACTCAGTTCTTCATCCTGCTCCCTGGCAGCCCCCTCCTACACACTGAATCCCCTCATTTTTGCCCCATCCCAGAGCTTTGGGGGGCCCACAAAATGGACTGTGCCAAGCCCCCAGAAGAGTTAATCTGGCCCTGGGGCTAAGCCCTGAGCCTCAGTGCTCTCCCCCTCTGTGGAGTATGAGGGAAGTAAAGGGAGTCTTTCTCTCTCTCTCTCTCTTTTTTTTAAAAATTTTTTTTATTTGCACTTGTGTGTGGGGCTCCCGACTGATTTTTCTGTGGGCCAGTGGCCCCCATCCCAAAAAGGACTCCCCACTCCTGCTGTAGAGGTTAGTGATAGGCACATCCCAATCCATGAGATTCATGGATTTGCCGACCCCAAAAAAGTAGTACATGCCAACTGACCATTTATACTTCAGATCTCAGCTCTGCTTCAAACACATCACGAAGGTACGTTTATAATGAATACAAGCAAACATTTGTCTAATAAAGATCAGAAATTCAAGTGTTAGCAAGTAGACTTATTGGAAACAAAGGGTTACATATAAAATAAAATCATAAGACACATTCTACAACCTTAGCTTAATTAACTAGATACTTTTACGCCCTATAGAGCAATACTCCCCCAAAGTCCTTGCATCATTTTTCAGCCAGGCTTGTCCATGACCTTCCATTCACGAGAGACATCATGCAGTCAGCGTGCCCTCTTGGTGAAAGATTGAGGGGACCCATTTGCCCTAGTTCAGCTCCCCCCAACAATCCACTGTCTTCACAGGAGCCCCTTCTGCAGTTTACTTCTGCCTGTAAACTTCCT